GGAGCAGGAACGGGCCGGACCGGACTGACGATGCGCATCCCTGGCTTGGTGCGTGGAGCAGCAACGGGCCGGACCGGGCTGACGATGCGCACCCCTGGCTTGGTGCGTGGAGCAGGAATGGGCCGAACCGGGCTGACGATGCGCACCCCTGGCTTGGTGCGTGGAGCAGCAACGGGCCGGACCGGGCTGACGATGCGCACCCCTGTCTTGGTGCGTGGAGCAGGAACGGGCCGGACCGGGCTGACGATGCGCACCCATGGCTTGGTGCGTGGAGCAGGAACGGGCCGGACCGGGCTGACGATGCGCACTCCTGGCTTGGTGCGTGGAGCAGGAACGGGCTGGACCGGGCTGACGACTCGCACCCCTGGCTTGGTGCGAGTGGCAGGAACAGGCCGGGCCGGGCTGGCGACGCGCACCGTAGCTTTGGTGCGAGTGGCAGGAACAGGCCGGGCCGGGCTGGCGACGCGCACCGTAGCTTTGGTGCGAGTGGCAGGAACAGGCCGGGCCGGGCTGGCGACGCGCACCGTAGGCTTGGTGCGAGGGGCAGGAACAGGCCGGGCCGGGCTGGCGACGCGCACCGTAGGCTTGGTGCGAGTGACAGGAACAGGCCGGGCCGGGCTGGCGACGCGCACCGTAGGCTTGGTGCGAGGATCAGGAACAGGCCGGGCCGGGCTGGCGACGCGCACCGTAGGCTTGGTGCGACGAGCAGGAACAGGCCGGGCCGGCGACGCACACCGTAGGCTTAGTGCGAGGGGCAGGAACAGGCCGGGCCGGGCTGGCGACGCGCACCATCCACTTAGTGCGGGGAGCAGGAACGGGCCGGACCGGACTGGTGACGCACACCACTTGCTTGGTGTGAGGAGCGGGACTGGGTTTCGTCATAACCCTCCGCTCCCTCAGCTGCCTACAGAGTTCCTCTCGCCGTGCCTCAATTCTCACCTTCTCCCTTATCGCCTCCAATAGCTCCACCCTCTGCACCACTAACCCATGCTCCCTCTGCGCCAATAGCCCCCTTAACCTGGTGGCCTCCTCACCTAACCTCCTACTACGCCCTGTAGCTGCCTCCTGCTGCCCCGTCGCCCATGCCGTATGCCCCCCCCCTAAAAAATTTTTGGGGTTGCCTCTCGTCCGTCCGACGACGACACTGTTGACGCCGTTGCTCCTCTCTCCATCGCGCCTCTACCGTCTCACTCCATGGACGGCGATCCATCCCGGCCTGGATTTCCTCCCAGGTCCAGGACCCCTGCCCGTCCAATATTTGCTCCCACGTCCAGGCTGCCTGCTCCTGGACACGCTGCTTGGTCCTGGTATGGTGGGATCTTCTGTCACGATCGTCGTAGAGAGTAGACCAATGCGCAGCGTTGGTTGCGAACATACTTAACTTTATTATCTTAAGTGATAATATAACAACAATACAATAAACGAAACGTGCAGTCCTACGGTTAACACAGAAACAAACCAAACGGAAACAAGATCCCACAAACACTAAGGGAAAACAGACTGTTTAAATGTGGTTCCCAATCAGAGACAACCAGCCACAGCTGACACTCGTTGCCTCTGATTGAGAACCACACTGGCCAACATAGAAATATAACACATAGACCTACAACACAGAACTAGAACACATAGAATCTACACACCCTGGCTCAATATATAGAGTCCCCAGAGCCAGGGTGTGACACTCTTAAAGGGAGTGCTCCTAATCTCAGCTTGATACCTGTATAAAAGACACCTGTCCACAGAAGCAATCAATCAGGGTTTTGCCACCAAGTACTAAGTCATGTTTTGCAGAGGGGTCAAATACTTATTTCCCTCATTAAAATGCAAATCAATTTATAACGTTTTTGACATGCGTTTTTCTGGATTTTGTTGTTGTTATTCTGTCTCTCACTGTTCAAATAAACCTACCATTAAAATTATAGACTGATGAATTCTTTGTCAGTGGGCAAACGTACAAAATCAGCAGGGGATCAAATACTTTTTTCCCTCACTGTACTAGGCGGTGTCAGAGGAAGGCTGTTCTCTCTGCTACCGCATGGCAAGCAGTACCGGAGTGCCAAGTCTAGGACCAAAAGGCTCCTTAACAGCTTCTACCCCCAAGCTATAAAACTGCTGAACAATTAATCAAATGGCCACCCGGACTATATGACACCCCCGCCCCCCCCCCCAAAAAAAATGTTTTTATACTGCTGCTACTCGCTGTTTATTATCTATGCATAGTCACTGGATATCCTCCCATAGCCCCCCTGCCACCCGGACACGCACGGGGGACAGTGATTACCTGCTCCACCGACCACTCATCAGCCCAAACCACCGTCCCAGACCACCTACGAGTCCTCACCTCCTCCCCAGTTCCCGCATTCCGAAACTTCTACCGCCATAGCGGCGGTTGCCACCGGGAGGACGCCGGCTACAGACTCCGTCACCGGCCCAGACCTGGCAGGCGTTCCCCGGGAGTATTGGGATATGGGGGAGTTGTTTAGTAAGAGGCGTGCCAAGGGCCTCACAGGCCACATGACCGCGCTATCGATCACCTTCCAGGCGCCATGCCCACACGAGGGCGATTGTTTTCCTTGTCCCGGCCGGAGACGCTGGCCATGAGGGAGTATATTGACGAGGCACTCGTCGAGGGTCACATCCGTCTCTCTACCTCATCAGCGGACACAGGCTTCTTCTTCGTGGGGAAAAAGGACAGTGGGCAGTAGCCGTGCATTGATTACCGGGCGCTCAACGGCATCACGGTTAAGAACTGCTACCCACTCCCCTTGATGACGACGGCATTCGAGTCGTTGCAGGCAGCCAAGGTCTTCACCAAGCTGGACCTACGAAATGCCTACAACCTGGTGACGATTCGGGAGGGGGACGAGTGGTAGACGGCTGGTGGACCTGGTGGAGAGGGACGACCCCATTGTCCCCAACGCCCTGATTGCTGCCCCAGTTTCGTGGGGAATCGATAGGCTGATCAGAGCAGCGCTACTGCGGGAGCCCGATCCGGACGGAGGTCCATCAGGGAGGATGTACGTACCCAAGGCTGCGCGCTTACGACTGCTTCAGTGGGCACACGCGTCCGACCTCACCAGCCATCCGGGGGGCGGCAGGACATTGGAGTTCCTACGTAGGAGGTTCTGGTGGCCATCAGCTGAGAGGGATACGCACGCCTTTGTGGCTGCTTGCCCGGTGTGCGCGCGCACGAAGACCTCACGTCAGTCCGCGGCAGGGCTGCTCCGACCCCTGCCTATCCCCAAGCGCCCCTGGTCCCACATCTCACTGGATTTCATTTCCGCCCTACCACCCTCTGATGGATACACAGTCATCCTGGTCGTTGTGGAACGGTTTTCGAAGGCTGCCCACTTCATTCCCCTTCTCAAACTCCCATCAGCCCGACGGCTAAGTTGGTGGTGCAGCACGTTTTCCGGGTCCACAACCTTCCCCAAGATGTGGTGTCGGATCAGGGCCCTCAGTTCGCCTGCATGTTCTGTGGACCGCATCCTGGACTGCCGGCGGGTGGGGAGGGGTCTCCAATTTCTGGTGGACTGGGAGGGTTTTGGGCCGGAAGAGCGGTCCTGGGTGCGGGTCGGGGGCGCTGTTACAGGAGGAGGTCGCAGTTCCGGAGCGATCCACTAGGTGTCCTCCTCCAACAACCTTAGGCACCTCCTCACTCACAGTCTGGACTAATCATGATCCTATTGGGTTCACCTGTGCATTTATGCCCTCACTTCCCTTGCTCAGTTTTCTCTGCTAGTTTCTCGATGCCAAGAAGTACGAATCAGTGTCTGATCGCGAAACGTATGTACAGGTTTCATTGTTGTTTCAGTCGTAGTTACTATTTCGTATTTTTGCTATCAGCCTGTTTTTGGAGACCAATTTGCTCCTCCTTTATTTTATCGTGACAAGTCTGTTATTTTGTATCCTGGCTTTGGGACCACCAGTAAAGATCCTTGTTTCACCATCTCTGCCTACTGTCTATCCTGCACCGCACCTGGGTCACACCTCACACCAACCCTTACAGGGATGGCCAAGAGACCAGAGGTGTCGGAACGGAGTGCTCGGGTTGGGATGTAGGGTTTGAGTATAGCCTGAAGGTAAGGAGGGGCAGTTCCCCTTGCTGATCCATAGGCAAGCACCAGGATCTTGAAGATGGTGCAAGCTTCGACTGGAAGCCAGAGGAACGGGGTGACATGGGAGAACTAAGAATGGTTGAACACCAGGTGGGCTGCGGCATTCTGGATAAGTTGCTGGGGTTTGATGGCACAAGTGGGGAGCCAAACCATCAGAGTTGCAGTAGTCTAGACGGGAGATGACAAGTGCCTGGATTAGGACCTGTGCTGCTTCCTGGGTGAGGAAAGGTCATACTGTAAGGATGTTGTAGAGCATGAAACTGCAGGAGCGAGTCACTGCTTTGATTGCAGAGAATGACACAGTGTTGCCCAGGGTCACACCAAGGGTCTTTGTACTCTGGGAGGGGGACACCATGGAGTTGTCAACCGGGATGGAGAGGTCTTGGAGAGGACAGGCCTTCCCCGGGAGGAAAAACAGCTTGAGCTTGAGGTGGTGGGCCAACATCCGAGCTGGTGCCTTCTACTGACCACATCAATGCACAGGTACAGTTTCTTTGTTGCTATTTTAAAAAGGTAAAAGCCTGTCCGTCTTTATTAGAAACGTTCTGGGAGACTAGGAATATAGGGCTGGACAACTGAAATATGGGCTAAATAACTCAAAAGCATAATAAATCATACTACAATGTAAAGCCTATTTTCTTATCAGTCACTCTAATAGTCTAACATTTGTAACAAACTTTATACAAAATCTCAGTAAATCTTACAATTTGTATACATCAAAATGTGTACAAAATGTACGTTTTTGACAGAGAATTACCAAAAATGTGTGAGCTTCATTTGAATACCTCCCTCTGCATGTCTTGGAGCTTGTAGTTCTACATATGAACTACATATCCCTACACCCGGTTACCATAGCAGCGAGAGTTTAGTTAGTGTTCCGCCATGGCTAGCAGTCCGTCCAGAGTTTTCGCTGCTCTATTACCCGCTGCGGGAGATATTTACCGGGACGAAAATGAACCAGGGATGGGGGGACACACGGTTACCGTTCAGCAAACCCAGAACAGCGCGAGGGGGGTCCAGGTGACGGGGAGCGCGGAGGTCTCGTGCCCAGCCGACCGCGCTACGGTTTCCGTTAGTTTCAAAAACAGCAAGGAGACGGTGAACGACGTCACCAACAGCATCTCGAGGAGAGTAGAGTACATTCTACAGACCCTGAGACAACATCATGTCAAGGTAATTTAGAGTTCATTCAACCATAGATATCCTATTAAATTACTAGAGAGGGCTTTGTTATAAAACCTTAAACTTCCAGAATGGCGTTGAAAATGGCAGCCATATTGGTCAGGGAGAAATCCAAACCAGGAATTGGAATGAATGGCAGTAGAGGCATAATCCTGATTTTACTTATGCAGGAAAATAAAAGTTAGGCATGTGATATATCAGAAATGGTGTAATAGAATTGTCAACCTAAAATAGTAATAGAATTATAAATACAGTTTATAAGTGTTTTATACAAATTTTCAGTATAAATAACCTTTAAAATATATGTATACAGACCATAAATGTATCAATGTTTGTTTTTTTGGAAAGCTGTGAGTGCTATTGTATGATACAAGTATAGGTATTTGTTGCATTTACACAACTTGTCCTATCATCAACTGATTTCAGCCAGTGTATGGCTGTGGATTGACTGCATTGTTTGAATGGAATGTTGGCAGCAGCTAATTAGGGATCCTAATAAATACAAAACAATGACCAAAATGTCTGACCTTTATACCGTCATATGAAGGTTCATGTCTATTCTAGTGTTATAATTCCTAATTATAAGTTCAAATAACTGTTCATATAGATATATTGGCATATAGGCCTAAAACAATTAAATAGGATATCTATTGCTATTGGTCCCATAGTGTTAAATTCATATCCCAGCTGTGTAATGCAGTATTTCCCAACTCCAGTCCTCCAGTACCACCAACAGCACAGATTTATTTTGTAACCCTGGACAAGCACACCTGATTCAACTTGTCAACTAATCATCAAGCCCTCAATGAGTTGAATCGTCTGTGGCTACAACTAAAATGTGTGCTGTTGGGGGTTCTGGAGGACTGGAGTTGGGCAACTGGTGTAATGCAATGCCAGTGACATTATTGACAGACAGACACAGGGCAAACATCCAGTCAGCACACTGTGACTGACTGACACAGCTGTCTAATCCCAATAAAAGTAGGACGTTTGAAGATTTCTCTTCTCTCCATCCTCCTCTTTACTTTTCCTCTCCACACTTCTTCTCCTCCTCTCACCCTGCAGGGGGAAGAGTTGACAGTGACGAGAAACATTTACAGAGCTGATGACCTGTACCACATGGAAGCTCAGGTAGGTCCCCCGTGCTGAAATCCCTAAACCTTTATGTACAGACTGAAATAGGCCATGCATTAACATGGGAAAGGAATGGAGACTGGTCTGAGAAGTGTTGGAAGTTATATTCTAGTTCATGCCTACTGTGAGAAGTCCAGCAGATCATATCAATCAGAACACTGGGTTCAGCCTGATCAGAGCCATTACTGTTGTTGAGCACATGCATACATACACGCATATGCAGGTATGAGTCATGTTAAAGAGCTGCTCCTGGTGCTGAGCTGAGAGGAAGGTGTCCTGAATGTTGTACATTATAGCTGTGTGTAATAAAATTGCATTTGCTGGGTGCTTATATTTGGCCTGTTTTACATATGTACAAATGTTTTTTGCATATCCCAACTCCCCCTGAGAATGGGGTCATAGCCAGGGTCAGCCATTATCAGCAGCGACCTTGGCGCAATTAGGGATAAGTGCCTTGCTCAAGGGCACAACAACAAAATGTCCCCCCTTATCGGCTCGGGGATTCTAACTAGCGACCTTTCGGTTACCGGCCCAACAATCTAACCACTGTGTGTTTTTACAGGTGATGGTGGTGTTCTCAGACTTTGGTCAGATGGAGAGAGTGTGTGTTGTTCTGTTGGAGAAGCTGGATAAGAGTGTGTGTGTCAGCGTGCCTCACTTCTACCACAGTGAAGAGTGTCTCAGCCTATTGAGGTAACACACACACACACACACACACACACACACACACACTACTTACATAATAAATGTGTGTGTGTGTGTCCAGGCGGCGTGTGTGTGTAGCAGCAGCAGAGAACGCTCGTCTGAAGGCGTCTGAGATGAGCAGCATGCTGGGACAGACTCTGGGGCACCCCCTACTGGTCAGAGAGGAAGAGGCCACAGAGAGGAGAGATGCAGGGAGAGAAAGAGTGATGGAAGGAGGAGAGGGGAGGAGGGGGGAGGGGGTACACAGGCCAAGCATCACTGCGACCTCTCGTGTGTTTGTCACCTTTAACCTCCGACCCAAAGACAGAACCAGGAAGAAGTTCTGAAGACTAAGTTACCCATCACCCCCTGCAGCACAGTGCAAACACACACTCACACTGTAGATACTTTAATATGAAGCCAAAGACGAGGATGGACAGTCATTGTTTTGTTTAGAATAATATTTATTCAATTCTTTCCTCAAAGCTTCTGTCAGTAAACATGAATGTCAATAAATTATGTAAAGGTGGCTGTTCCGGATTCAAGTTTGATCTCTTTATGATTAAAACTATTATATTTTCTGTCTTTCATTTTGTTCCGATATGAAATACTCTATTATCTTCAGTGATGTAGTGGTAAAAACAGTAGGTGGGTAAACGCTGATCACCGTTTGCAGCGAATAAAATAATGCTCCCTATATTTTCAATGCATTTTTCCACAATAGGTGGCTTTTTTAAAAATGTGTAAACGTTGTTTCCCCTCTACACCACTGTGTGAAATTCTCTTCTATCTTGTTGTGGGGGAACAGAGAGAGAGGAGCTGTCCCTTCCTTTACATCTACTGTCCAGTTAGGTGACCCACACATACACACACACACAAACTCCTGTGGTCCTTGTCTTGTCAGTCTTCAGGGAAGATCTCTTGGAGCCAGGGCTGCATGATGAACCGCTCTCCGTCAAAGTGTGTGAAGTACAGTTCTAGGGTGGGGATCTCCGGCTGGAACACACACACAGAGGTTCGGTTAGGTGTGTATGTTTGAGTGTCAGTTTGCCTTCAGAAAGTATTTAACCCCCTTTACCTTTTTCACATTTTGTTGTGTTACAGACTGAATTGAAAATTGATTAAATTGAGAGTCTCACTAATCTACACAATATCCCATAAAGTCAAAAGTGAAATTTTTGTATTTAGATTGGAAAAAAAAAAAAAACTTTTTTAAAAATGAAAAGCTGAAATGTCTTGAGTTAATAAGTATTCAACCCATTTGTTAGAGCAAGCCTAAATAAGTTCAGGAGTAAAAACGTGCTTAACAAATCACATAAGTTGTATTTTATTTATTATTTATTTATTTATTATGGACTCACTTTGTGTGCAATAATAGTGGTTAACATAATTTTTGAATGACTACCCCATCTCTACCCCACACATACAATTACCTGTAAGGTCCCTCAGTTGAGCAGTGAATTTCACTCTTCATATTTTCAAGCATGCTGGAGGCTGCATCATGTTATGGGTAAACTTGTCATTGGCAAGGACTGGGGAGTTAATTTTAGGATAAAAATGAACAGAATAGAGCTAAGCAAAGGCAAAATCCTAGAGGGAAACCTGGTTCAGTCTGCTTTCCAACAGACACTGGAAGACGAATTCACCTTTCAGCAGGACAATAACCTAGGCCAAACACTGGAGTTGCTTACCAAGACGACATTGAATGTTCCTGAGTGGCCTAGTTACAGTTTTGACTTAAATTGGCTTGAAAATCTATGGCAAGACCAACTTGACAGAGATTGAAGAATTTTACCCAAAAAGACTCACAGCTGTAATTGCTGCCAAAGGTGTTTAACATGTATTGACTCGGGGTTGAATACTTACCTGATCAAGATTTATGAGTGTTTTATTTTTAGAATTATTTTAGAATTTTTCTACCACTTTGACAATAGAGTATTTTGTGTAGATCGTTGACAAACAAATGACAATTATATCAATTTTAATTCCACTTTGTGTGTGTGTACCTACCCTGGTTCCAGTGACCCGTTTCAGCCTGGTCTGAGGCAGGTATCCCACTAAGAGAGAGGAGGGGCCAGGACCGCTGAATAACACCTTATAGTGGGGGGTGTTCTCTGCTTTACCCTACACACACACACACACACACACAAAGTGAGAGGTGAAGGTCAGAAGTTAAAGCTAGAACCCTTAAATGGTGTAACTGCCACTTCCGTTAGTGATATTATTACAACAACAAAAAAGTCCCTCGGACATTATTGCACACACGATAGAACAGCAGCATGTAGGACCTATTGCAATTGTTATTACCTTGAGGCGTGACGCTCCCCAGCTCTTTTTCGTCAACAAAAAACCAAAACGATAACAATGGCGGTGGGGCGGACAGTGCCACCGTTTCTCCCTACTGCGGATTCCATCTTTAAAGAGCAACTGCCCCTAAAAACCAACTTCTCCTTTTGAAAACGGCCTGTGGCATCGATAGGAGTCAGAAACATTTATTCTAGTGTCAAAATAGACTACAAAGTGCAAATAGGATCATTTTTGTCATAAAGTAAAAACTGAGTTTTGTAAGTAAGTTCATCACGACTTACTTGAGGGTTTGGTAATGGATTACTTATACAATTACCCAGTGACAACACGTTTGTGGTCCACCCCCAGCTGCCATGTTGTGAAGTCTGCATATGGGTGCAACACACGCACATGTCGCTCAGCAAATAGGTGTGAAAATGGGCTTCCATAAAGTTAGCACAAACTTCCAAAGCATTTCAACAATATTGACAGATGACCAGGAATGGATTACATCAGACACTTTCACTTCTGTGACTGGTGTTGGTGAGTACGTTAGCTAAGTAGATAGCTGGTGTAGCTACTTTTGGTTATACAACATTATTTTATAATGCTAGCGAGCCAGGCTAGCTATGATTTTATTTCTTTTTTATTTCACCTTTTTTTAACCAGGTAGGCCAGTTGAGAACAAGTTCTCATTTACAATTGCGATCTGGCCAAGATAAAGCAAAGCATTGCGATAAAAACAACAACAACAACACAGAGTTACATATGGGGTAAAACAAAACATACAGTCAATAACACAATAGAAAATCTATATACAGTGTGTGCAAATGGAGTAAGTTATGGAGGTAAGGCAATAAATAGCCCATAGTGCAAAATAATTACAATTTAGTATTAACACTGGAGTGATAGATGTGCAGAAGATGATGTGCAAATAGAAATACTGGGGTTCAAATGAACAAAATAAATAACAATATGGGGATGAGGTAGTTGGGTGGGCTAATTACAGATGGGCTGTGTACAGGTGCAGGGATCGGTAAGCTGCTCTGACAACTGATGCTTAAAGTTAGTGAGGGAGATAAGAGTCTCCAGCTTCAGAGATTTTTGCAGTTCGTTCTAGTCATTAGCAGCAGAGAACTGGAAGGAATGGCGGCCAAAGGAGGTGTTGGCTTTGGGGATGACCAGTGAGATATACCTGCTGGAGCGCATACTACGGGTGGGTGTCGCTATGGTGACCAATGAGCTAAGATAAGGCAGGGATTTGCCTAGCGGAGATTTATAGATGACCTGGAGCCAGTGGGATTGGCGACGAATATGTAGTGAGGGCCAGCCAACAGGTCACAATGGTGGGTAGTATATGAGGCTTTGGTGACAAAACGGATGGCACTGTGATAGACTACATCCAATTTGCTGAGTAGAGTGTTGGAGGCTATTTTGTAAATGACATCGCCGAAGTCAAGGATCGGTAGGATAGTCAGTTTTACGAGGGCATGTTTGGCAGCATGAGTGAAGGAGGCTTTGTTGTGAAATAGGAAGCTGATTCTAGATTTAACTTTGGATTGGAGATGCTTAATGTGAGTCTGGAAGGAGAGTTTACGGTCTAACCAGACACCTAGGTATTTGTAGTTGTCCACATATTCTAAGTCAGACCTGCCGAAAGTAGTGATTCTAGTCGGGCGGGCGGGTGCAAGCAGCGTTCGATTGAAGAGCATGCATTTAGTTTTACTAGCATTTAAGAGCAGTTGGAGGCTACGGAAGGAGTGTTGTATGGCATTGAAGCTCGTTTGGAGGTTTGTTAACACACTGTCCAATGAAGGGCCAGATGTATACAAAATGGTGTCGTCTGCGTAGAGGTGGATCTGAGAGTCACCAGCAGCAAGAGCGACATCCTTGATTTACATTTACATTTTAGTCATTTAGCAGACACTCTTATCCAGAGCGACTTACAGTTAGTGAATACATGTTTTTTAAGTTTTTTCATTCGTTTTTTCATTTCATTCATCAACTGAGCTACATCCCTGCCGGCCATTCCCTCCCCTACCCTGGACGACGCTGGGCCAATTGTGCACCGAGAATAGAGTCGGCCCGAGAATTGAACCCTGTGGCACACCCATAGAGACTGCCAGAGGTCCAGACAACAGGCCCTCCGATTTGACACATTGAACTCTACCTGAGAAGTAGTTGGTGAACCAGGCGAGGCAGTCATTTGAGAAACCAAGTCTATTTAGTCTGCCAATAAGAATGCGGTGATTGACAGTGTCGAAAGCCTTGGCCAGGTCGATGAAGACGGCTGCACAGTACTGTCTATTATCGATCGCGGTTATAATATCGTTTAGGACCTTGAGCGTGGCTGAGGTGCACCCATGACCAGCTCGGAAACCGGATTGCATAGCGGAGAAGGTTCGGTGGGATTCGAAATGGTCGGTGATCTGTTTGTTAACTTGGCTTTCAAATACTTTCGAAATCAGGGCAAGATGGATATAGGTCTGTAACAATTTGGATCTAGAGTGTCACCCCCTTTGAAGAGGGGGATGACCACGGCAGCTTTCCAATCTCTGGGGATCTCAGATGATACGAAAGAGGTTGAACAGGCTAGTAACAGGGTTTGCTACAATTTCGGCAGCTAATTTTAGAAAGAAATGGTCCAGATTGTCTAGCCCAGCTGATTTGTAGGGGTCCAGATTTTGCAGCTCTTTTAGAACATCAGCTATCTGAATTTGGATGAAGGAGACGCGGGGGGGGGGGGGGGGGGGGGGGGGGGGTTATAGACAAGTTGCAGCGGAGGGTGCAGAGCTGGTGGCCGGGGTAGGGGTAGCCAGGTGGAAAGCATGGCCAGCCGTAGCAAAATGCTTATTGAAATTCTCGATTATCGTAGATTTATCGGTGGCCTCAGTGCAGTGGGTAGCTGGGAGGAGGTGCTCTTATTCTCTTTACAGTGTCCCAAAACTTTTTGGATGCAAATTTCTGTTTGAAAAAGCTAGCCTTTGCTTTCCTAACTGATTGTGTATTTTTGTTCCTGACTTCCCTGAAAAGTTGCATATCGCGGGGGCTTTTTGATGCTAATGCAGTACGCCACAGGATGTTTTTGTGCTGGTCAAGGGCAGTCAAGTCTGGGGTGAACCAGGGGCTATATCTGTTCTTAGTTCGGAATTTTTTGAACGGGGCATGCTTATTTAAGATGGAGAGGAAAGCACTTTTAAAAAGAACAACCAGGCATCCTCTACTGACGGAATGAGGTCAATATCCATCCAGGATACCCGGGCCAGGTCAATTAGAAAGGCCTGCTCTCTGAAGTGTTTTAGGGAGCGTTTGACAGTGATGAGGGGTGGTCGTTTGACCGTGGACCCATTACGGACACAGGCAATAAGGCAGTGATCGCTGAGATCCTGGTTGAAGACAGTGGAGGTGTATTTATAGGGTAAATTAGTCAGGATGATATCTATGAGGGTGCCCATGTTTACCAATTTTGGGTTGTACCTGGTAGGTTCCTTGATAATTTGTGTGAGATTGAGGGCATTTAGTTTAGATTGTAGGACGGGTGTTAAGCATATCCCAGTTTAGGTCACCAAGCAGTACAAACTGAGGATAGATGGGGGGCAATCAATTCACATATGGTGTCCAGGGCACAGCTGGGGGCTGAGGGGGGTCTGTAGCAAGCGGCAACAGTGAGAGACTTATTTCTGGAAAGGTGGATTTTTAGAAGTAGAAGCTCAAACTGTTTGGGCACAGACCTGGATAGTATGATAGCCGGCAGAGCTCTCTCTCTACAGCAGATTGCAACTCCGCCCCCTTTGGCAGTTCTATCTAGATGGAACATTTTGTAGTTGGGGATGGAAATTTCAGAGTTTTTGGTGGCCTTCCTAAGCCAGGATTCAGACACTGCTAGAACATCAGGGTTGGCGGAGTGTGCTAACGCAGTGATTGATTCTTATTGTCGGAGTGACATAGCCCGCTGTTTGCAGCCAGTAGCCTATTATGGTTTTCCGTCGCTCTCTCCTTTTCAATAGCTTGATTTGAAAGTGTCCTCTTTCGGCCAACAGGAACAGATATCACAGGCTCCAAACTGTCGACGGGATCCATAACTAAAAGCTCCATGACACTCAAGAGCTCAACGCTAGGTAGCCAGCGAGCAAAACCTAACTTGCGACTGAACAGAGAAATAATGGAAATGGCTCACTTTTACGCCAGCTGCAAAAAATATATGGAACCTTCCATCCACCTGGACAATGGATATAGCACATCTCGGGGAGGGGGGGATGAGTGTGTTGGATATCGTGTTTTGCAAAATTACACATTTTAAAGCACAACTAAAGTAAAATGTTTTAAAAGTTTGATAACAGCTGTAATTCATACACATAGAAAGGGACCCATGAGCATTCCTTTCAGACGAATGTATTTACATTTATCGCGTTTTGGAAATAAAACTCTTCAAGTGTAATATTTGCACATTGTTATATTAGCAGAACGCCAGCTAACAATTCTAGGGAGCGAGAACGTTTTTGTAACGTAGAAGCTAAGACCGTTGGGCCAGTAACAGAAAGGTTGCTGGTTCGAATCCCCGAGCCAGCAAGGTGGAAAGCTCTGCTATTCTGCCCTTGAGAGCAAGGCAGTTAACCCCCAACATCAACTTCTCCCCGGGCGCCAATGACTTGGACGTCGATTAAGGCAGCCCCCCAGCACCTCACTGTTTCAGAGGGGTTGGGTTAAATGCGGAAGACACATTTCGGATGAACGGATTCAGTTCTGCAACTGACCAGGTATCCCCTTTCTCCTAATGTTTGAGTGTCCAGTTTTCCGTTAGTTAGGGGAACATTCAATCTACAGTGAGGGAAAAAAGTATATGATCCCCTGCTGATTTTGTACGTTTGCCCACTGACAAGACACGATCAGTCTATAATTTTAAATGGTAGGTTTATTTGAACAGTGAGAGACAGAATAAAAATAAAAAAATCCAGAAAAACGCATGTCAAAAATGTTATAAATTGATTTGCATTTTAATGAGGGAAATAAGTATTTGACCCCTCTGCAAAACATGACTTAGTACTTGGTGGCAAAACCCTTGTTGGCAATCACAGAGGTCAGACGTTTCTTGTAGTTGGCCACCAGGTTTGCATACATCTCAGGAGGGATTTTGTTCCACTCCTCTTTGCAGATCTTCTCCAAGTCATTAAGGTTGAGGCTGACATTTGGCAACTCGAACCTTCAGCTCCCTCCACAGATTTTCTATGGGATTAAGGTCTGGAGACTGGCTAGGCCACTCCAGGACCTTAATGTGCTTCTTCTTGAGCCACTCTTTTGTTGCCTTGGCCGTGTGTTTTGGGTCATTGTCATGCTGGAATACCCATCCATGTCCCATTTTCAATGCC